ATGTCCTTCCATCCATCCACCCCTCCATCCCTCATCTCTCCCTCTTTACCTCCCTCCCTCTTTCCTGGGGAGCAGCAGCACTGTCCCCATATCTCTCCATCCCTCCCGGGGATGTTCCTCCATCCATCCCTCTTTCCTGGAGTGCAACAGCACTGTCCCCATGTCCCTACATCCCTCCCAGCAATGTCTCTCCATCCATCCATCCGTCCATCCATCCATCCCAACTGATACCAGTATGGTTCCTTTTCTATCTCCAACTGCCAAGTTGAAAGCGAGTGTGTGTGGTGAGAAGCTGGTGAAACTTGGTGAAGAAGGCCATGAAACAGCAGCACTATAAAATCCAGCTGTGGGCTGCCTGGTACCGCTGCTGGAATAACTTTCTTCTGGGTACAGGTGGGAAATGGAGTCCAGCCTGGGGAAACGGCCATGTGCTGAATTGCTCTGACCTCGGCAGCCTCTGATACCATCTCCAGCGTGTTTGGTCAGAGGAAGTAGTTTCTGTAGACATCTCGTTGAGGTTTTGTTGTTGTTGTTGTTTTTGTAACTGCTGCTTCTGTGATGTCCCCCCTGTCTATCTACTTCCTTTGTTTATGGGCGGCAGTCTCTGGTTGGGTGGCCCCTTCCCCTTCCCTTCCCAGAAATGTTGGGAAAAAAGCCGGAATTGGCTGCAGAGGAGGTCCGAGCAGTGTCTTGTCCATCCCGGTGCAGGGTTCACCTCCCTGCCCCTCTCTGCAGTGTGCTTTGGGGTGCTTCATGCCCTCGTTAGAAACAGTAACGAGCCCCCAAGGGACCATCAGTGTCCGAGCCTGTTCATCTCAAGGAATGACCTTTTTCCCCTCGGCTTTTACGCTGGAGCAAGTCTTTTATCTCTATATTATTTTGCTTCTGAATATGAGGTGGTTTGGGTGGTTGGTGAGATGGTTTGAGGAGCTGGCGTCTCCCATCTCCTTGGTTTTGGGGCAGAAAATGAAGAAAATATTCCTCTTTTTGGTTACATTCAGGTACTCTCCATCCCCAGCCTGATCTTGGTAAACCAGCTGTGGTAGAGGCTGCGTTAACCAGCTTCATGTTTTGCAGCTGCTGCTTTGGGCTTGTTCAAAATTGTTGGTTGACTCTCTTCAGCTGACCTGATGATGAGGAATGGCAATGTTCCTTATGTAAAGGTGTAGTTTATTAAAAAAAACCAGAGTTCCCCCCGCATGATGAATAGAGAGGAAGAGCTGGAGGAAACGGCATCTATTAGTGTTAGGTGCTTGTGTGCCTCCAGAGGCAGGGACGGCAAGAGATAATGAACTTGAGAGGTGACTTCAGCAAAGCCAGGAGGCTTGCAATTACAGGCAAGTTCGTTATTTCACCGTGACTCTGGTCTTGCAGTTTTAGTTCTTTCTCTAATTGTAGGACCACAAAGGCCAACAAAGATGATGGAGGGACTGGAGCATCTCCGTGATGAGGAAAGGCTGAGAGAGCTGGGGCTCTTGAGCCTGGAGAAGAGAAGGCTGAGGGGAGACCTTATCAATGCTTCCAAGGATCTAAAGGGTGGGTTGAGGGAGGATGGAGCCGGACTCTTCTCAGTGGTTCCCAGTGACAGGACGAGGGGCAACGGGCACAAGCTGGACCATGGGAAGTTCCACTCCAATGTGAGGCAGAACTT